AGAGGAAGAGCACGCAGACTCAGGGAGAACATGCCGCCTGCGCAGAGAGGAAGAGCACGCAGACTCAGGGAGAACATGCCGCCTGCACAGAGAGGAAGAGCACGCAGACTCAGGGAGAACATGCCGCCTGCGCAGAGAGGAAGAGCACGCAGACTCAGGGAGAACATGCCGCCTGCACAGAGAGGATGAGCACGCAGACTCAGGAAGAACATACTGTAAGAACATAAGAAATTTACAAACAAGAGGAGGCCATTCGGCCCATCAAGCTCATTTGGGGAGAACTTAACTAATAGCTCAGAGATGTTAAAATCTTATCTAGCTCTGATTTAAAGGAACCCAGGGTTTTAGCTTCCGCTACACTAGCAGGAAGACTATTCCACACTCTAACTACACGCTGTGTAAAGAAGTGCTTCCTCAAATTTGTTTTAAAATGTTCTCCCGCTAATTTCCACTTATGACCACAAGTTCTAGTATTTAAACTAATATTGAAATAGCCATTTGGCTGAACAGCATCCAGACCCGTTAGAACCTTATAGACCTGGATCATGTCCCCCCTTAGTCCCTTAGAACATGCCGCCTGCACACACACAGTGCTGCCCCCACATTTCAATAATCAGTCTGAGCGCAATTCAACAGCAGCACAGCATCCTGATCTTCTAAAAGTCTGCTGCCTCTAATTTTAAGCTGTGGAGCTTTGGGGCTCTTTTGCATACAGAAGACGAGGAGTGCATGTGAAAACAAAAGAATTTACTGCACAGAATTACGAGAAACACATGCAGTCTTGTCCACTCCCAATCTGGAAGTCTGCATTCTTCCTTCATTATATGACATGTTGTTATCATTTGTTTGGTTCTCACATGTCGTCACCCATTAAAATTTACTAGATTTTTCTGTGAGGGAGGAAGGTCACTTTGTTTTGCTATATATGACTGCACTTTTGGGAGCCTGTTTTCTCTAGATTGAATATAAAATGTATTTTCTGGGGAAATGAGTTTCAGCGTTTCATGTCATTTCATGCTGCAGTTCTATTCAAAGGCACAGTACAGTATTTATTCAATGAACGATCCCTATGGGGCAAAAACACATTCATTTGTTTGCTGTCATTCTGAATTCCTGCCTCACATACAATATTGATGGTGACATTTCTTGCTTTAGAAGTTTTTAAATTTGATGTTAGAAAAGAAGAAAATATTAAGTGTATTAAAATCAGCATTAGCCACATTATGTATGTGTAATATACCCTAGTTTGGAAATAAGCCTTTTCAGGAAAGCAACCAGAGCTCCATTGGTGACGTGTCAGATAAAATCAGTGTGACGAAAGCACATCTCTACTCTGCCTGCACTCTTGGATTAAGACAGTATCAGTGAAATGTTGTATATCTTTGCTGTCCTTACCATCTGCTTCTTGTGTGGCTCGTCATTTTGTCCACAAAGGAAGGTTCAAACTTCTTTGCTGTTTTACCTTTAGAGAGTCTCTGTGCAAACACAGAGGTTTTACGGGGACCTGCTGTGAATTCGAAAAGCATTTCCTCACCTTGCGATTTAAAACGTCAGGAAATATACATAAAACTGAAGGTTTGATTAGGAGAAAATTAGCTGGGGCCCTTTGTGCAAAGGTGTTTGTTCCAAGAGGCCATGAGAGTCAGGTCACAGGTTTTCTCATCCTATGCCAAGCTTTGTCAGGCCACCAGTGGCCAGCGCCCTGCTGTGAGAACCATCTGGCCTATTCACTGGCAGGACAGTGGATGGGCTACGGCCTAGGTTTACCCCAAACCACCCACATTGCTGCCAGCACTGAGCTCTGACAATGAGAGCGCAGGCTTCAGGGAGCAGTCTTCTCTACACCCAAGGTGCAAGCAGTACAATGAGGGATATCTTTGGGGAAAACGAACAAAGAAACAAACAATTGAAGTGAATTCATCGTTCATTCATTCGAATAAAACCGAAATTAAGGTCAATCAAGATCAATCAATCTGCTGAGTGTATCTGTGTATATATATATATATATATATAACTATAAATGACAAATTAGGAGAAGCTAAACTATACAGGCAGCAGAGCTAAACACTATCAGAGAAGGTGCAGCCTTCAGGGGGATAGGTGCAGATCTGGGCCGCATCGAATGGAGTGGCTGCTGTTCTCTGTTACTAACAATAACGAGCGAGAAGTCAGCGTGTCTCCATCTGTCACCAGTGGGATGAAGAACAGGAGGAGCAGGAGAGGAGTGAGAGAGAGGGAGGGAGAGAGAGAGAGAGAGAATAAGATGGGCACACGATAGATGGGTAGTGAGAGGCAGTGTGAAATGAAAGGGAGAGAGAGAATAAGATGGGTAGTGAGAGGCAGTGTGAAATGAAAGCTGGGTCGCCTTGAGACTGACTGCTTTCTGCATATTTGTAACAAAGAGTAGAGCAGGTAGAGGAAGCCTTTCCTCACGAGCGCTTCGAGCCTCAGAGGAGGACCTGCAGAAACCAGGTGACTTGTCGACAATCCAGCTTGGATATCACAGATATATGATTTATGTGCTACTCCGGCTTGATATCAATGTGCCAGAAGTACTGTATGGGTACTTGTTAGGCTTTTTGTGGAAATGGTGTCAGGTTAGGCACAATGTAAATATGAATCTAATTGAATATTGTAGAATAATGTACTGACCTACTTTTCTGCCCTTCTGCATTATACTAGGAAACAGGCCACATCCAGAAGCCTTACGCTCACAGATACCCTGTATTTATCACAGGAAAAAAACAACAACAACATCTGATGTACTTTCACATCAGTATATTGAAGCTTGTCGAGTCTTCCATACAATCTCTTGCCTTTATATCATTTTTATGTGTAACTGAGATGTCAGTTCCTACAGCAGGAGTTCGGCAGAAAAACAACGATGCACCTTGTAGAGAATAAGCACAGCCACAGCGAAGCAAAAAAGTAAACGTTAAAAATTGTGCAAGGTTTTTATTTCCATCAGGTGCTCTAGGGGGCAGTGTAAGTCCAACGACGACATGTAAGCAGGCCTGGGGTTAAAGTGGGTACAGATTATGGGATCACCATTACATTATCCACAGCTAGCAGCAAGGTGGTTGTGTTAACCAAGCGTCTCCTGTAGTGTTTCACAGAATTATTCTGCATTTCCATTCATAAAGTAAATGTGCTTCACATTCCACCTTGAGCGAAACTTTGTAACGAGCGCTAAGGATGAAATCGTAAAACTGCATAGAACCTGCCTAGCGTGGCCGCCCAGTAGGGGGTGCTGTTGTGTCCCCAGGCTTCATTCTGTGAGTGTGCAGTTTGGATGTTCTGCCTGTGTTGTGTGGGTTTGCTTTGGAAGCTCTGCTCCAGACACATCCAGTACAGAGAATCTCCAAATTGCCCCAGAGTGTCCGGTGCTGCCTGGAATGGGTCTCTTAGCCCCCAACCTAGTAATGGTAATGGATGGACGGATGTTTGGTTCTGCTTTTAGTAGCAATTTTGCTGAATTTAAGACCTCAACCCACACTGCATGGGGCAAAACCGATAGGTTCTGTAACTTTTGCTTATTTTTTGATATTTCCATTTGAGCAGTATTGGCTTGACAGTATCACCCCATAATCTTCAAGACAAAGAAACAAAAAAAGAAATGAATACATAAACCGGTCAACCATAAAATTAACCACCTGCCTAAATGTTGTGTAGGTCCCCTTCATGCTGCCAGAACAGCTCAATCCTGTCGAGGCATGGAATCCACAAGACCTCCGAAGGAGTCCTCTGGTATCTGGTACCAAGAGATTAGCAACAGATCCTTATTAGTCCTGAAAATTGCAGACATGTTTGTCCAGCACATCCCACTGATGCTCGATTGGACTGTGATCTGGGGAGAATGGAGGCCACGTCAACAACTCTTTTCATGCTCCTTAAACCATTATCCTTTTTTGTAATGTGACTGTGGCAGGACACATTATCCTGCTGAAAGACACCACCATTGGGGAAAACCACTGTGTACTTGGTCTGCAACAATGTTTAGGTAGGGGGTACCGTACATTTCAATGTAACATCCACATGAATGCCAGGACCCAAGGATTCCCAGCAGAACATTGCCCTAAACCATCACAGTGTCTTAACCAGTGCATCTTGGTGCCATCTCTTCTACAGGTAAATGACGCAGACGCACCCGCCCATCCACATGATGTAACAGAAAACAAATTTCATTAGACCAAGCCACCTTCTTCCATTGCTCCCTGATCTAGTTCTGATACTCACATGCCCACTGTAGATGCTTTTGGGCATTCTGACCATTCAGCCCCAAACGCAGCAAACTGCGATGCACTGTGTGTTCTGACACATTTCTATCATAACCAGCATTTCTCAGCAATTTGTGCTACAGTAGCTCTCCTGTGGGATCGGAGCAGGCGGGCTGCCCTTCACTCCCCACACATGTCTATGAGCCCATGACCTCATTACCAGTTTACCAGTTGGCCTTCCTTGGGCCACTTTTGGTAGATACTGACCAATGCATACTGGGAACACCCCACATGACCTGTCGTCTTGGAGATGCTCTGACCCAGTCGTCTATCCATCACAATTTGGCCCTTGTCAGACTCACTCAGGTCCTTACACTCCCCATCCTTCTGGATTCAAGAACTAACTGTTCTCTTGCCTAATATAATGACACCCTTGACAGGTGTTACTGTAATGAGGTGATCAATGTTTCTATATATATGTGTGTGTGTGTGTGTGTGTGCTTCACCACCCCAACATTCTCACTTGTTTTTCAGAATGAAATAAACTGCAAATATAAAGCAAATATACAACATTATAAATGTTCATGAAGTCAGCAATGTGTGGATGAATGTGACATAACAACAAGAGGAAAATGTTATGGATTCATGCATGCATATAAAATTTAATGCTTTAAAAGACATACTGTACAAGATGCACACCTTAGAGGAGTAGAAGGAATTTAAAGTAAACTGAAATTTATTGACAGAAAAACAATATATCTATCCTTTCTTACACAGGTTTGACAGGATTCAAAAACACACATTCAAGGAAAACAAGAAAACCTTTATTGGCTAGACAGGTGTTTCTGATGGTTCAAAAAAATTACAAAAATGAACTTTATGCTAAAAGAGACCCATTGCACCAACAATTCATATTTAATTTATGTTTGCATTTATTGGATCAAAAATTGTTCAAGTCAAATTATTTTAAAAAGCAAAACAATTATTCAAACTGCAACAAAAGTGTGTGTGTGTGTGTGTGTGTGTGTGTGGTAAATCCTTGAAAGCAAAAAAGCAATGCAGAGAAGAATATTTGATTTAGAAAGGCACTACGGCAGGGCAAGGTAATGGCAAGAGTATTGTAATATACGTGTAAGAGAGCATACAGTCCTATCTCTGTGAGCACGCTTTGATTTGACAGGAGAACATGATGCTGTTTTAGCCTAAAAAATAAATAAAAAGTAAGAAGAAACCTTCTTGTTTAAACATTTTTTGTGTCTTTTGATTGTCCTTGTTGAATTCAAGTTTTTTAAATGGAAAGAATGCAACGCCAGAGAAAGACAAAGTGCGGGTTTCCTATTACATGCCCTTCTGTTAAGGTTTCTGCCAAAGCTCTTTGGCATAGTCTGATTGCCACAAAGCACAGAATCTTACAAATTGGGAAAGAAAGCTACACAGGTCACTTTACACTGGGATTCTGCAAAACTGTAAATCGTTGTACGCATTGTGCCCAATGAAATCCAGTGACCATGAACCAACATAACCAATCCTAGTAAGTCCCCCAAGTTTTTTTTTTTTTTTAATATAGATTAAATGTGACGCACATTCAACAATCAATCTGTAATTATTAAAATGAAACATTGCTGTTATTACAGATTTATCATTTTCTGGGGTTCCCATATATCATAAAAAGATATGAAACAGTCTGGTTCTGCACAGCAATGTGAGGGTATGCAGAGAAAAGCAGCCACAGACAGAAACCACAAGTTATTAGCTGGGAGATTAATGTTAGACATCATCAGTGTTGTCCTTTATGTACACAATTATAAAATACACAGCACCAGATACGTAATAAAATAGCACCTATGGTATTGTTTACTGTAATAATGTGATATTTCTCCCATTTATCATTGCCAGTATTGTTGTGTATGTTTAAGGAGTAAAACAGGGAAAAATTTACCTTACCTTAAGCCTAACCTGACAAGTACTCAGCTATACCAAAGTTTGCAATAGGCATTTTACAACAGAGGAGCAGAGACAAAGAGGCTGTCATAGTAACCATTCTGCTTGTAAGTCAACACTCAGGTGATAGCACTGTGTTCATTTCCAACCTTTATTATAATTTAAATTACAAAAAGATGTGCTTCACTCCTGCATCAAGATGTCAGTGCTGGTTTCTTCCACTTCCAAATGTTCCCCTCTCCGAGTTGGTCTTTTGTTGAACAATTATCTCCATCCTTACCATAAAGGTCACATGCATGTTTTGAAGCCATAATTATTAAACATTAACAAGGAAAAAATATACAAAACTTACAAATGCACGCACACATACACATATACAAATGCACACACACACGCAAACACACGCACAAAAATATATATTTATATTTATATATGTATAAGCACCATTCGGAGGAATGGGTAAACATTATGCACAAAATAAAGCTTCAAGGTTTAAAGAAGAGGAAAGGAGAAAGCACGCTCAATGGTCATTGGAGCTGGCCATCGCAAGTCCCGCCTTCCCACAGGTGTAAGGTTTCTGATAGGGTGCTTCAGGGAAACGTGAAGAATATAATTGGAGCTACTCAGAGGTGTGCTGGGATCGGCACTGGGAAACAGTTTTGGGGTTTAGGGAAGCGGGGGGGACGAGGGGGAGGGTGACAGAAAAGGGAGCGACTCGTCCGTTTTCAAAACCTGCATGTGACGGCAAAGCTACACTGAGGTTACGAGGTTGCTCTTTACGTTTAAATCTTATTATTTTTTTCCCTTGTTTTGAATCTTTACATTTTGGAGACAGAATGGCACAAACTGTGGTTTTACTTCTTGTTGTTTTTTTCGTTCTTTTTTTTCGCTGCGTTCAGAAAGTTCGTACCTTGCTGCTGTGTTTCTGGAAACACCGTCTCAGCCCAGGAAGCAAACTGGTCCCACTTCAAATCCAAATTTCTGTGAGGCTTCACCGAAATCATTGAACATGATGTCGACGTAGGGTAACTGCTCTACCTTGGGCGTGTCGATCTCAAGTACTGTTTTCTCATAGCCCTTCTTTAGCTGAAAAATAATCATTAAAAAGAGAAGCACAGAGGGTAAATCTCTACAGTACTTCACTCTGTGCTACAGAAAGGTGTTGTCCATCTCAGCTATTATCGTGCATTATGGCAACATTCCAATATATGCCCCAAATAAATGCTCAGTCATTCTTGATTTCTCCGAGCTCATTTGACACACAGAGGACACAAATCAAAACAAGAGATCTCACGCTATCATTAGAGAACGTTTAGTCCTCTAACATAAATACGGACAATTATACAGAGGAATATGCATTCATGAGCACATTGTAACAAAAAGACAGTGCTCATATATTAACTCATATCTCATACATTTTCATTCATATTCTGCCATAAATGGTAAAGAAGCCGGGAAGCAGCACTGAAGCACTGTGAGACCACATCAGCATCTGGCATGACTCCCGTGACGTGGTACAGGTATGCGTACCGCACAGCCGTCCAGCAGAGCGCGGATGTACGGGTTGTTGTCGTGTGACATCTCCTCGTCGTTGGAGCCCAGGAAGCGGACAGCCTTGTCGTAGCTGTCCTGCTCCGATTCATGCCAGGCCACCGACTGGTAGCAGCTGTACGTGAGGTTCTGCCGGGCCGAGGCGCTGAGGAGCCGCAGGAAGGTCATCTGAACCACGCCGACGGGGCTGCCCTCAGAGTCCACATAGGAGAGCTGCTCGGTGACATACAAGACAAGCGGTCTAGACAGGGCCTGGTCACCTTGCGCGCCTTTAGGGTACACAAACTCATATAACAACCTCCACCAGCGTCTATGGCAGCACAGAGCGGTTTTCCTTAGACTGACATCTTTACTTAAGACATTTTGTATTATGTCAGCCAGGATCCTCAGTCATTACTGATGTCCGATATAAAGGCGTCTGTCCACTAAAAGACACATCACTAAGACACCACAAGGTGATGTGGAAGGTGGCACTGACCCTCCTCTTCAAAGCAGCAGACGTCAATTACATTTATATTATAAGCTACGTAAGTATAATCATGTACTTAAACTCCTGTAAATAAATAAACAAACAAACAAATAAGCGTTTCCATAAGCACACCATCGCTATACATTGTTAGGCAGTCTGGAGCACTATGTTTAAAATATATGTATAATGAATAATCGGGAGATGTAATGCATCCTCCAGTCAATTTGTGGCTTTAAAGCAGACACCCAAACACATCTGTAATATAATATAATATAATATAATATAATAATATAATTTATATATATATATATCTGCAGTTACATACACAAGTCCTACAACTGAAAGCACTATCAGTGTCTCCCCCAGAGTCTCTGTCTACCAGGAAGGGCAGCTAATGGAATAAAGGACCAGATCCTTTGAGATCCTTTGTTAGGTGGGATGATTGGACCAGAGATGCTGTTACTGACAATCACATGATCTCCAGCGAGTGCCAAGTACATTCCTTCAGCTTCATCATGTTATCCTCCATTCAGTCTCGGGGAAAACCGTGATACTCTCGTGATGAAATTGACAGCCATACCAACCCATCAGTGCTCCATCAGTTCCACACGTTTGCTCTGCAGACAAACAGGACTGACTTGGTTTAAAGCGCATGCCATGAAGCGCAGGAAAGTATGAACTGAATAAAAAACCATAGCAGCCAAACGTGAGAGAACTGGACAGGCCCAGGACCTGCTAATGGCACAGTTCCACTTCAGTGAAAAATGCATTGTCAGAATTAATTACTGATATTACGAAAAGATTCAGCTAATCAGTTGTATAATATAAATTTACCTATGCGTCCATAAACCATCCATCTTCACACTGCTTCTGCTAATGAGGGTTATGGTGATACATTTTAATAAAGTAAAGTTACATAAATATAATATATTATACGGTAGGCTATATGCCTATTAAATAAATGGAATTGTGCACTGCATCTTTAAAAATGCTTCATAGAAAACCGTGCTGTGAACATGCCTGATGACTGGGATTGCAAAATTCTAGGAATTTTCTGTTAATTCCCATATGTTCTTGGTAATTCCCATGGGAAATTTCCAACTTGGAATAATTCTAAAATTCCGCAGCTTAACTTCCCATGGAATGGAAAGTTTCTGGAAATTTACTGCCCATTTGCAACCCTGCCACTGACAGTGGCCTGTCCAGCCTACCGAAGGTGAGCGTCTATAGCAGGGGTGGCGAACCTGGTCCATGGAGAGCCGCTGTGGGTGCAGGTCCTTGGCATGGCCTCTCAATCAGCCAATAGTAAAGCAGTGGTTCTCAACTACAGTCCTGGGGACCTTCTGTTATTGGATGACTGAGAAGTCATCCCAAAGAACCGCACCCACAGCGACTCTCCATGGATCAGGTTCGCCACCCCTGGTCTATAGGGTTCTGTCACCATTCATCCCCCCCATCCAGCCAACTCCACCATGGGCGACATTACCTGTCAGTCTCAGGGACGGCCACCGTTCAAGCATGGCTGAAGACCCCGCAGCCCTTGTACTGTGACTGAGTGCGGCTCCTACCATGCTATACTATGCATGCATTTCTCTGTTTACACTGCAGTTAAAAGTTCAGGTTGTGTTTCATTGCTGTGGTTTTCCTTCAAAGGATGAAGCGTTCAGGCATTCAGTCACCTTCAGGTGATCACCTTAGCATTGACGAGAGGAAAGGCATATACTCCACATACAAGCAGAACTTTCCCAAAACGGTATATGGAAAAAAACAGAATCCCCATATCTGCATATGGATTTAACTGTCGCTGGGCATTTTTATAACAAACCTAAAGTCAATATTAGATGTGGGGTTAGGGAAATTGATTGATAATGTGAAGTGTTATAAAGCCAGGGACTCAATAGTCATTAAAACAACAGAGTAAGTCAGCCTCCAGGGCTTGGTGAACTACTAAAATCTGTTCATGTCTGTCAAGACCAATTTGCAGCACTTTTTTCTTTACTTTTAATATTTTAAAGGTATCCTGGAACAGTGCAAAGTAATTTAACTGACAGTTAATAGGCAGCCACTTTTAGTATATGCCATAATTATCCCCCTAAGACAGCATTGGTCTTATAGGGAAGTAGCCTTGCTTGTTGGGTACACACCTTTCCGTCAGTAAGAGTGATGCACCTCAGCCGCTGGGCTGCACGTGAGGCATCGCAATGTGGGGGCTTCCCGGACGTGCGAGGTGGAGCCCCTGGACAAGGCAGGCATGCGACTTACCAGGGACCCTCGCTTGTAACGACTATACCAGGTGCCTGGCGTGTCTTTGGGCCAACGGGCCATTTTACTCTGTAAAATATGAGAGCTGGTAAAAGATGGGAAGCAGGGGGTCTTACCAGTTTACCGCGTTTGAATTCACTGAACCAGGTGCCTGGATTCTCCTTTGGCCAAGAAGTGAGTCTTGTCTATTGCAAAGGGCAGGATAGAGAGGGAGAAAGATACATTAAAATCAACAGGAGACCGGGTGCTGGGAGATGCAAAAAAAAATATATATATATCAAAACAATTTCTGAAGAAAAACTGAGTCAGCAATAATCTGCAGGACAACCTACTTGTGTAAGAATCAAACAGCAACTCTCATCCATCTCAATGCAGTCGATGAATCAACGCTTCTTTTTTAACCAAAGCCGGTAATTCCGTCATACTTCAAAAGCCAAGATTTTCACAAACCAAATTACTTCTTGACACAGATACACTGCACACAGGTTCATCATAAGTGCGAAGTGGATTATTTTCGACAAGCAACACCTGAAGGTCAGCCTGCACGCCTAGATGGCCTTGTTCTGAAAGTTCATCCATTATTCAGACATACAAGTGTATCTTCCAACAGGCGGAATGACAGCCACTCAACAGTGTCACAACAGACCTCGTTATAGACCAAGATTCTACGTTCTGTGTGCTAATGCTTCATGGTTTTATGTAATTATGCTACAGCTTTTCTCGACAATCCCAATATCAAAACTCATTAATTCTTTGGATATGGCCAAAGAAAATTAGTAATAGGTATTCACTAATATATACCTTAGGCACCTTCATCCCTTTAATAGGTGAGCAACAATGTTCCGAAGTTGTAATGGTATTTTGGAGAAGAGAATAATAGCATCCTCTGATGCCTGCAGGGCCGGGGAGGATCAATACTGACTCTAATTGGTATTTTTTTCCAACTCATAAACTCGTGTCGGAGAAGTGAGTGCTACAGCAACTGATTTGAAACAATCACTATTGATGTACATACTAGATGATATTAAATCATTGTAAGAATCAATGTAACTATTAAGTAATACAAACCTAAAAAATAAATAAATAAGAATCTAAGAAGAACAAGAGTGAAGTGCAGTGTTTCCCAATCCGGTCCTTGAGTGGGGAGCCACAGTCAGTCCATGTTTTTGCTCCCTCCCAGCTCCCTGCCAGACAATCCACATTTTTGCTCTACTAGGAACTGGGAGGGAGCAAAAACGTGGACTGCCTGTGGCTCCCCGAGGACCGGATTGGGAAACAGTGGTATAGTGGAATGCAGCTATGCCTGGTCCAGGCTAACTTACTCCTTCAGACTTCTTGTCTGGGTAGATGCAGCTCTCTCCCCCTGCAGTGAAGTTACAGTAAACCTTAAAGGAATCCCGGGAGCATCCTTGATTGGGGTCAATCCAGTATTCACCTGCAAGGACAACAAACAGCCAACTTGCTTTACCTGGGTGCAGAAAGTACTGGTGGGGAAGTACTCACACGTCCATGCAGACAATATAGTGGTGAACAATTAGTAGGAAAAAAGTTTCTAAACAGATATTTACATATTTACTGGAAAATTGTGACTAAACAGACCAAGCTCAAAGTTTTTCTTGGAACAGCTGGGTTGCTATGAAAACAGCTAGATGCTTCACCATCAGGGAAATCAGGATGACACAAGTGCAGGTCCTTGCAGGTTCGTGCTGGGTTGTTCTGAGTGCCAAGTGGGTGCTTCATCTGCTCGATCTCCAGCTTCAGAGAATTCAGCGAGCCAAAGATCTCCTCCATGCCATCGTCATAGTCCTTGTAATTGGCATCGGAGTCCGGGTCGTCCATGAGCTGGCTGGCATCAATGTTCCTCCTGCTCCTCTTGGGGCTAGACTGGATTGGCAGCGGGTGGATGACATCACCAGGGGGACCCTGTGCAAAACAAACCACAGCAATGAGCACTGACAACACCTTTCTTCATTTGTCTCTTTCAGAAAATCAAAACCACCTAGAATCTAATCGTACCACAACACTGGTGTCCATACAGTACCAGTTAAGCAAGTACCCCAAACATGCATTCGCAGTCTGAACTATTTTAGAAACAGTCTTGAGACTTACTGGAGGGCCTGGGGATCCTGGGACACCTGCTTCACCCTTTGGACCAGTTTGACCCTGGAACAAGCAGAACAAAAAATACTGTTACACCTGGTTCTTTATAACACATTGAAGTTCATCAGTAGGGGCCTGTAGCATGAAGCTGGATTTATTGGTTAATTAGATAACTTGTTGGATTTAAGGTGCCCTAGTTTAAATTGCCTTTATCTTCATTCACTTACATTTAGTCCATATTACCTAAAATTTAGAGAAGTTATCCAGCTAAGCAAGAAATCCTGCTTTGTGATACAGACCCAAGATCTACTCCCCAAAGAACCTTCACAAACGACTGATTTAAGATGGAATTTAAGTACTTACAGATGAGCCCTTAGCACCTTTTGGACCAGAAGGACCCTATAAAGAAAAGAATCGCAGTGTAAGTGTGAGGAGTTTACTGACCTGGATTAGTATCGACCGTAACACAGGATTCATTATTACAGATGTCAAATCACCAACCGAATGAGATTTTGTTTCCGACACATTGTAAATGGGGAAGAAAATAACCAAACACACAAAGAAAAAACTAGTGAGTATCTCAAAAAGTAACTCAGGTCAGCACAAGTTTTGTTTCTCACAGCTATGTAGAGAATTCATGGGGATGAATGAACACTTCTGCCACATCCTGTTACATCTCCACTTACTGGTAATCCGGGGGGTCCAGGGGGGCCGATGGGACCAGCAGGGCCCACAATACCCTAATGAGGACACAGTCACATGGTTTCTACAGGTTGCACATCTACCCACCCTAATTTTGTTATTTTTGTTATTTATACATACAACACAGCCTTCATATGGAAGTGATTTTGTTACAGCACGTTCCTTACATTGTCGCCTTTAGGACCGGATGCACCTTGAGGTCCTGGATGCCCTCTGTCACCCTTTTCTCCCTGTTCTCCTGGAGGTCCAATCAGCCCTATCAGCCCAGGGTGTCCCTGAAGAAGAAAGCCCACATATGATGGGGTTCACAAAAAATAGTCAACAAACAAAAAGGCCGGGAAACCAAAGATAGTAGAATCATCTATCTCATCATTTTGAAGATTTCTCAGCTTGGTAGTTAATTATAGGAGGTCTGTGAAGCATGTATGTTCTGTCCTATTTTGTGTGGCTTTCCTCCATGTACTACGATTTCCTTTCACAGCAAATATTTGCAGATAGATGACAAGATGTCTGTAAATTGCCCATGGTGTGTGTGTGTGTGTGTCCTGGGTATACATCTGCCCTATGCCCTATATTGCCTGGGATAGGTTCCAGGCCCCCTGTGACTCTGTGCTGTATTAGTAGTTGGAAGATGGATGGATTTTTTGATTTTCCTGATTCTGTCAACACTGGTTTAATGGCCTTGAAATTTGCACCAATCCTGGCTCATGTTTTACTCTTACCTTTTCTCCCTTAACACCAGTGTCACCCTTAAGGCCAGGTAATCCAGGTGGACCCTGAGAGAAGGGCAGACAGGCAAGAAATCCTTCATTTGTACTCGCCATCTAATTATGTGCTACCAGGGAAAACTGACTTAGAATTCTCTGTACCATTGGTCCAGGGGGTCCATCTGGGCCAGGAGAACCTGGGAGACCCTGTTCACCCTGGAAAAGTAAAAGAGAGACGCACGATGACTGAAAGTGCTGACAAAATATTATGAAACATTGTCCTATTGTAATGAAAGTACCATCATCATATACAGAGAAATAAATGTTGACGTTATGCTTACAACTGGGCCTGGGATTCCCCTAAGACCTTCTGAGCCGGGCTTGCCAGGAGATCCCTGAGGCCCGACTGGGCCTGTCCTCCCCTGAGGTCCTTCCAGACCAGACTCACCCTGCGAAGTGTACTTACATTAATACTTGTACATACATTACACTATACTTACTAATACAGGTACTGACGCTAGGACCTTACCTTAGCTCCCCTTTCGCCCTGTCTTCCTTCGGGTCCAATAGGACCAGGTGGACCCTAAAGAGTAGCACAGAAATATAGTATAACATAGCAAAAATATAACAAGAGGAGACAGAAGGGAAATGGAGAATAGGAAGTACATGGTGTATTAGTTCACAACTCCAGGCCACGAAATTTGCAAGAGGGAGCCAATAAGAATATATCTAAGCACTTAACTTCCTCTAAATAACTTACTCTCTTCCCAGGAGGGCCAGAAGGACCAGGTTCTCCAGTGGGGCCAGGAGATCCCTAAGACAGCAGAGAAAGACCAATCAGGCAACTGTAAACAGCATATAGGGCTAGTACATTACTCACAATTATTACGTTAGAAACTAATGGGAGATCTTGAGGGAAGCTTACAGGTTGACCAGCTTCTCCATCATCTCCTTTGTCACCAGGTAGCCCATCCAGACCCTGTAAATGGAAGCAGAAACGGCCGAGAAACCTACTATGATAAACATGGCCTTTTGCATTTCACAGATACAACTCTGCTAGACACAGTGAAATTGCATTTTTCTGGAAATAACTTACAGTTTGACCAGGCTCCCCAGGGGGACCTGGATCCCCAGGAATTCCACTTGGACCCTGAAAGGGAAATTATGCAGTTGGTTTAATTAGGTAGCGACCTGACACTAGTGCTAGATTCAGTTTTTAATTGATTTTTGTCCTGGACAGGATATTAAACATAAAGATACCATCTCAATAAATTTTAATGAAAGTTATTCATTTTGTTAATTTTGTATTGATTCTGACATTGGTAACCCCAAAAACAAATAACAAATAAACATATGATGACAATAAAGCTAGTTATTTGGTTTATATACTGTATGCAGTGCATATGATATGATATGACATGACATGACATGACATGACATGACATGATATGATATGATATGATATGATGTGATATGATATGATGTGATGTGACATGATGTGATGTGATATGATGTGATGTGACATGACGTGATGTGATTATCTGATAGCTGGCTGATTTGGTATTGATCTTGGTCTGTACACACCGGGCTGCCCTTGGGACCGTCATCTCCAAGAGGACCTTTGGGACCAGGGGGCCCAGCAGCACCAGGAGGGCCAGCTTCGCCCTTTTCACCCCGTTCACCTCTGGGACCCTGAGAAAATTCACAATTCAACATTACAAAACTAAAAAACACAGCTGCGATACACATAAGGCCAACAACCTTCTCAGACATCTACATATGTGATGATGCTTATGAGTAAAAATATGACACATGTCATACATCTGGACACTATGGTAATGATTATTAACAGTTATTGTTAGCAACAGCATTATTATTAGCATTATGTCAGAAGCTTTCAAAAGTACTGGTTATGCATATCATGGGATCTGCTGCACAATGCTAGGTAACTAGTTTGTGACACGGGGTCTCGTTTCACGTACTGGTGCACCGAGATCTCCTGGAAGTCCTGGTTCTCCAGTTTCACCAGATTCACCCTAAATAAATTTGGACAAAGACAAAAACATATGTGATCACTACTAAACATCAACAAGACGATGATATTTAAAAAAACTGCAATTTAACAGCTGTATAGTTACATATAGCTCATGGTGACCTCTTGAGATTCTTTTCACTTGCACACCAACAGTGATCAGACTGTATGGAAATTAAGCTCCTTTTCCATCAGTAATCCTTACACGTGTATAAAACCATGCCTAGTTGGTTCCACATTTCAATTGAGCCCAAATTTTGGTTGTATAAGCGCTGAGTGTTTGCATTTACAACATAATGAATCCCCTTCCACCCATAAAATTGGCAATTTGGCTTTCAGCAATTCTGAACAAAAAATACAGTTAACTGGCCTTCTAAAAATCCAAACCCCGGCAAAGCAGCTGTGCAGATGTCTGAGGCTGCATGCTTGTTGACTTTAAAATTAGGCCATAGCTTCATTGCTGTAATAAGTGCTCTAAAGAAGTTGTGGACCCTATGAGATCAGTTGCACTCAGCAAAATGACTAGATTTATGCAATAAAACAGAGATGTGTGGTGAGAGGAATTCCAGTGGGAGAAGCTGATCCAATCAAATAGCGCTAGTCATACATTCACACATGAGCGCATACTGAGAAGGGCAGACAGCAGGTAGAAATCAATACCCACTGTCCAGTGCAGGCAATTCGGTGCCACCTCTGTCACACTATTCATCTTAATATTTTTCATAATCTGCCAACTGGGCTTCATGCATCAGCGTTCCTCGACAAGTTTAGAGAATGTTGATGGGAGTCGTAAGCAGGAAGTCAAGACTCATTAATTCAGTGGAACTCTGACTTAGGTGAATCCGCATTAAACTCATTTCATCACCTGCATCTACTGCTGTTTGCCATACTGTTGTACATTTTATAAATAACCTTTTTTTATTATTTGAACCCACTACAGGCAAGTTACAAACAAGATCTGTTCCTTAAGTCTGCTTTTAAGTCGAATTTGTAGGTAAGGCAAAGCAACAATAATACAGAACATAATAATAATAATAATACAGAAAGAATAAAAATAACTACGTAAAGTACTGTGCTGTACCTCGAAATAATGAATTGCTGAAGCTGAACAATGTTATCATGAGCGTCACAAAGTAATACATGCGTTGTTATTACAAACCATTGTATTTAACTGAAATATTTAATATTATGGGCTTTATGGCAGTCCGTTCGTAAGTACGAGTTGTCAGTATGTTGTATGTTCTTAACCCAGGGGTCGCCTGTACTTACACATGAGAAAAAAAGACAGCATGGTACACCAGTACGCCTTGCATTTTTATTTCTTAAGAAGCAGACTGGTGAAATTCCTGACTACAGTAGGAACTTGTGCTTCAGGGTTGTACTGTCCATTAATTATTAATATATGTTAAACCACTAGAAGCAGAAATATGCCCTTTGCAGTCATGTATTATGCTATGATGGTTTGGAGAACCTAACATAACAGCACATGTAAAGTGCGACAAAAGACATGTTTTATTAAAGAGAGTAGAGAGAAAGGAGCAAACCTTTTCTCCCACAGCGCCTGGGTTGCCAATGCCACCAGGTGGCCCCTGGGAACCGTCTGCGCCGGGGGGTCCTGAGGGGCCTCTGGGGCCAGGGGGGCCGGGGGGGCCCTGAGGGAGAAAAACAGGAGATCAAGTGTGAAGATAAGGACACAGAAAACGGCATGATAAAGCAACCCAAAGCAGAGCAGGCTTTACCATCTGGCCGACGTCTCCGGTCTCACCCTTCTCACCAGTAGAACCAGGACGTCCCTGCATTTAAAATGTAGGGGAAGAAATCAACTGTGGTGCTAAGGAGTGATACAGTTACCCCTCCGCATCAACGGGAGATTGGTTCCAGGACACCCTGCAGATACCAAAATCCGTGATGCTCAAGTCGCTTATATAAATTGTATAAATTTGCATATGCACAGCAGTCCCTATACTTTAAATCATCTCTAGATTACTTATAACACCTAATACATTATACATGCTGTATAAATAGTTGTTATACTATTTTTGTGGGAATAATGACAATGTACATGTTTTGATATTGGAACTCTGGATATTTAATTTAATTTAATTTAATAAAAAAAAAAAAAATTCAATCTGCAGTTGGTTGAATCCGCAGATGCGGAATCCAGTCTGGATAACTTGGGCTAATCTCATCCCAGTCTCACCTCCACTCTGACAGCTTAGCTTTACTGTACCTGGAGGCCGATTGGCCCAGGAGGTCCTAGGAAGCCTCTGGGTCCTTCATCGCCTTTTTGCCCAAAGAGTCCCTGCTGTCCTCTGGGTCCAGGTTCCCCATCAGCTCCCTTTCACAACACAGCTGAGTTTGCATGGTGAAATAGCTCTGCAGACCTTCTCAGTGGAATCATATGGCACCAAACCACCAAAATGCACTCATTTTACTTTTATCAGTTACACAAACGTAGCATGAGGAAGGCACACTGATGATACCTCTGACCTTAGTAGAGACTGGATAACTATCAGGAATGATAATTTAACATTATCATTTTACTTAACTTTCCTATGAACATACTGGAAATCAATTCTACAAATATCAGCAATTCACTGTAACTGACATATATAACAAAGTTAAGCATTATTAAGCATAAGAAATACTTACAGCAGGACCAGGTTGTCCAATTGGGCCTTGTGGACCGGTGGGACCGGGAGGACCCTACAAGATAAAACAAGATTAGTGAATGCTCACTAGATTATCTTCAAAAATCTATATAATAAGTGATATGACCCAACAACTATGCTTATAAGGGCACTTTTCTACCGCACCAAGTACCATACTTTTGGTACGGTACTTTTCGTATGGTACTTTTGGTACGGTACTTTTCGTATGGTACTTTTGGTACGGTACTTTCAGTACTTTTGCTCTTCCATTGACTTCCAGTTGAGTTCCAGTACCAAAAGTTCCAGTACCAAAAGTTCCAGTACCAAAAGTGCCAAACCAGCTGTGGTACTTCTTTGGTACTTTGTGATAGAACTTGAAACACTTTCTTGCCTCGGAAACACAATACAACCACAATCTTGAAAAATGTTATGAACTCAGAAAATGACTAATGAAGTAAAAAAAATACATAAATAATTGCTATCTGCTCATAAGAATGGATATAACAAAAAGATCAGGTATATTAAACAAATCACTTCAAAAGTGTTTTGTTTAATATACGGTGACAGCATGCATATAGTGTGCCGCCATAGCGATATCATTTTGTTGTAAATATAGCAATGTGATTTCATTGTAAAAACTATTGGGGTATTTATAAAGCAAAAAGGAGCTCATAAATTTCTCACAAACCCATCCAGGAGGGATATAAACAGCAAAGATGAAAATGAGTATGAATGTCTTGAAGAACACATGCAGCACTGATGCAAAAGCAGGTAAATTTTGAACTGATTTTTAAGCATATATTAGATAATCTATAGAAGCAATAACAATTAAAACTGCAAAGCTAGCTAAGGTTTTTTTTTTTGTATAATAGAGTAAAATGTTTTAGTGGAACTTTAGAGGAACTCCCTGCACTATAATGTAATGCAGAATTGAAAGTAAGGAAAAGCCTGATTTTAATCTAGCTTACGAGCGATGTAACAATTGCATGTGCACAATATGCGATGTTGCTATTAATACGGCACATCGTCCAGTCCTATAATACACTACAGCCATTTTTCAAGCTCAGTACAAAATTCCCCACTTCGCTTTGTGATGTCATCCAGAGGCGGTACCAGTTTTTAAGGCAGTGGAAAACCAACACCTTGAAGTACCGTACTTTTGGTAATTTCTCAAAGTACCTGGTACCTGATGTGGTGGAAAAGCACCTTAATAGCTAATTTTAAAGGACGTGGAGGGGAGGACAGCATGGGGTAACATGGCATGACTCACGTGTTCCCCTTTATCGCCTTTGCTGCCCTTCTGTCCTGGCTCACCAACCTCACCCTGGAGGAGTGAGAAACACAAAACCGGTAAATCACATTAATTATAGACACCATCCTTCCAACTTAGGGCTTCAGCTACCAGATGTTCTCAATGGGTTTTGGTATTCAAGAGCCATAAAATCAGCGGGGAAATTTCACCGTATGGGGTAAACTCTGTAGGGTCTTGGCACGTGTGTCAGCTATCCTGCCTTGTCCTGTCTTCATCTTTTTAAACTTTTTACACGTCTTCTGTGTAGTTTTTGCAGCTGTGATTTACATAACTGTCTGTTGCCATTAGGCTTTCAGAAGATCTCGTACTAATACGATCACAGCTTGCAAGATACCTGCCCTCCTCAACAACATTAGCTACATGATGCTATTTTAAATGCGTTACTCTTCCAAAAAATTAGCTACACTATTCCGAATGCAATATTCTTCCCAAATATTCGCTACAAGATTACTATTTTGAATACAATTGTCTTCCTGAACATTAGCTACAAGATTACTAATTTAATTGTAGAATTCTTCCCCATAGGCGAATAGGCTAAGGTAACAAAGTCCACCAGTCATTCATTATAGGCCAAAAAGTTTTATACATGTAAATTTGTATAAGTAAACGAACAAACACACAAGTAAACAAACACCATGTACATATACAATTATTAAAATTATTATTACACATTGATATGACTAACACACAAGTCACAATTTCAAATATAACTACAAAATAATATAATTTTATTAAAATTAATATGTTCAAATAGCATTTTATTCTGACCAGTAGGGGGTGAAATTGCACCCTGTGAACTACTCTTCCCAAAATACCTAAGAATATAGAAAATACATGAAGTTGCAAACTGTATCTACTGAGCAACATTTCTGAAACGCATGATAATTTGTTTCTTATGACAGATGGCTGTATTAAAGGTCATATTAGCATATACATTGTTTACACAGTATTATGAGCGTCTCTCTTTTATAGAGCCAGAGAAATGGTTTAGCCCATTTATATCTTACCTTATCCCCATCCTCTCCAGGGGGCCCCAGGGGACCTGCAGGTCCTGGGAGTCCAACTGGACCTTGAATCCCATCTCTTCCAGCTGGCCCTTGAGGACCCTTCTCACCCTGTAACATGTATTGCAAAAGCAGGACACTGCTGTGGCTGACAGAAAGAGTATCTGCACGATCCGTTACAGAAAGCCCAGCTGAATTTAAGGTAATTTTAGATCAGACAGTCGTACCGGGGTACCCTTCTCTCCAGCGGGACCCGGGGGACCTTGGGGTCCCGGACGTCCCGGAAGGCCAGTGGGTCCGGCTGCACCAGCAGGGCCTCTTTCTCCAGGGGAGCCCTGTGGACAGAGGAATGAGAACGGGTCCATAAAACACTGAAAGGTCTCAATAAGCAATGTGTTCCTCACCCTGCACCGAGGCAGCGCACACAGTAAATATGCTTCTAGGTGATTGGAATAAGGCTGACATTTCATATAGGGCATGGATTTGTGATTATTAATTAATGCAAACATAACCTGGCCATAATAATATGAAAACACTGCAAATTATGCAGATTTCAACATGATTTTTATATACGAATAACTTTCACTGTTGACTGATGCATATTTCCGAGAATGTGTTGTTTTCCATCTAAACTACGCAAAGTTAATTAAACTGATAAGATACGTGAAGAAGTGAAATTTGCGTTTCAACAGTGCAAGCAGTTCAAACAATAGCAGGAATGAGATGCTTAAAACAGATTGTTATAATTCAATAAACATCTCTTTAATATTCTGCATGTGATTAGAAATAGCTGGCAGTCATTTTAAACACTGTTGAACTCAAATAAAACTTTATTTTAATTCAATCTGTTTCATAAAACTGCCCTTTGTAATACGATAATAACAACAGGCTTCCAGCAGTAACCTTCAAAAAGCCCCTAGAGTAAGATTTATTTTCATCGCTGACTACAGCATAATAAACATGCTCAGTGGGAGAATAATTATTCTCCTGCTCTTATAATGTATCACCAAGCTTCTTAAATATTCTCTTTAAATATAGGAGCTAGAAGAATTCACCCAGAAGAATTAATATGTTTAGACCTATTTCTGTGTTGGTAAAAAAAAATATAAAAATAAAAAACGACAATTGAATAAATAAATAAATAAAAATAATTTACAGGTTTTACAAAAGCTATGTCTAAAAGAGAATCACTTCCATTCTCAGTGAAGGCCTGACCATCGCCCAAGACATTAGTTTCTGTGAAAAGCTTTAATCGGCTCTTACGGCTGGTCCAGGTGGACCGTTGGGGCCTTCGTTTCCTTTCAAACCAGGAGATCCCTGCAAAAAGCAACACATTCGTGATCAACACATGCAGCACCAATTGATACTTCACTGACATAATTATTTTAGGAAGCCATCAAATGTTCCTCAATTTTTTTTAATAAACATTCATGCTATCCTAGAGATCAGAGACTGAGAATTTTACCTTTATCTTATTTTCTGGAATCTGAATGAAGGCATCAATGAGAGCAGGGATGCTTACCGTGGGTCCGGGTAGGCCTCGTTCCCCAGGAAAGCCTCTCAAACCTGGGGGGCCGTCTTTCCCTGCCGGGCCGGCAGGACCTGGGTCACCCTGCAATGGCGAAGGTGCTTCTGTTTGTGATCTCTGAGTACTGCTATATATGTTCACTTTGTGAAAGACAAAGTGCACGTAGAAATACGGAAGGTGTGTCCTGAGGAGTGATGCTGGCTGAATGAACGCAGGTGGATGTGTGTAATAAGGGCTGTTAGCGTAGGGCTAACACTTTAGCGTGATGAATGTCTTCACCTTGGATCCCTCTTTTCCACCGGCTCCTGGAAGACCTTGTTCTCCTGGGGGTCCAGGTGGTCCTGGGTGTCCTCGCTCCCCCATTGGCCCAGTCTCACCTGTGGGGCCCTGGGGAAATAATATAAAAAATCACATGACCTCTCACATGACATCATTTTTCTCCCACTTAGCAGGTAGGCTATTGTTTTGCAGGCAACAAGCTTGTCACCTACTGTGTGTTAAAATCAAACAAGGTTTCATAACTACATGGATTATATACCCAAGTATAAAAGCATTCTTAAGGGTGTCAAGCAGTAATATGGCATTAGCAGGTGCTCCATTCATTGAATGAGTGCTGCAGACCGTTTACTAATCAAGGGGACACCACTGGGCCGGTTCCCCCTGTCCGGAGACCTGTCTGGCCGGGGAGATTGGTTTAAAAGAAGGTGCAGCCTTTCGACAGCTCAGCGTGCCGCCCAGCCTAACGCACCGCATCCTGGACACAGCTTACGGCACAGCATGCCCTCTGGGTGCTTTTTTCCCCCAGTAATATGGGACAAGGAGTCCTGCTTGGGTCTTTGCCTCTAAATTAACAGCTTATCCTAGAGTACATTTCTGTAATGATGTTTACTGAATAATTCTTCTTCGTCCGACAGCAGTATAATGGCGACTATCAGGGGAAATGCTGGATGCTGCCCCTTACACCTCGGTCCGTGTGCCTGGTAACCGGAATCAAGGTGGTGCACTAGTCTGTGCGTAATGACCTGGATTAGCATTTGCAAAAGCTCTCCCGTGGAAGAGGCTGCTGACTGGCCATACATAATGTATGAAGTGTGGAGCGGTGATATATGCGAGGGTAAAGTACTGGGCCTTCCCCCGGCCACGCGAAAGGCGAACGCCGGAAGGCAAACGCCGGAAGGCAAAGGACTTCATGCAGAGGCCTCCTGACGGCAGTACAAACAGCACCCGACTGCCTAATGGCTGCTGCCACCACCCAGGAAATAAAAACACCTCTGAAATATTTAAACGCAATCCGCAGCAACCGGTGAAACTGCACACAATGAAAACGAATGTTTGACGTCTTTAAAGTCACTAATCTGTATGTAGCAAAGTCGACATGCTGCATGGTGAAAACAAGAACGCACATATTTACTGCTCTGTTTGGACATTCCTGCTAATGCGTATCATTCTAGAATACTCAACGTTAAGGGACAATCTTTAATTTAGGTTTAATCCTGGGGTGTTTTTTGTATGTCGATTAAGAAACTCGGGGTGTTCTTGCTGGGTGGAGACTGTAGAATGGGAGCTGCTGAAATCTTGAACATTATTTTGTCATCCAACCAAGTCTTATAAAAATGGGTCTGATAGTGTTCAAAACGTGGTGACGCACCTGTGGTCCCACAACACCAGGAGGTCCTGGTGGTCCTGTTTTGCCTTGGAAACCCTGTTGAGGAGATAAGAAGCAGTTACTATATATACAGTTATACACAGACTGTAGCCTATGCATCATGAATCAGGCCAGATTATGGCAGATTAGGCAATTAGGCAGTATTTGGTATGTAACAGTACACAAGTACTGTGATCCCTGAACTAACAGTGATTCAGTTTAGGCTTTTCCACCACAATGGGTCTTGAGTTTCAATTTATAGACTGATTTCTTCAATGTAACAATTTTTCAGTCAATGAATATACTTTGCTGCATGACATGATTTTTTTGATAGTACAGTTTCAAAAAACTATGCGCAGTATCATGGACCAATTCTCTTGGTTCAAAGGTTTCCAGCCAAAGAAACAGAATAAATCTGACAGGTGCACCATTTGTTAGCAAAACACACATCGGCTGCATGTAAATGCAGAGTGTAGGGTGAACATTTCTTCAAGCATTCAGTCGTTGTTCTACACCTGCATTGTCTTTACACATCTTGTTTCAGCCTTTGTCATTGATTTCAGCTTTTTGTTTATTACTTATATACAGTATTGTTTTTGCCTTCCAGTGATATTTGGGGAAATTTTTTTGAGGTTTTTTGGTTGGACTAGAAATGCCACTATGTGTTTTATCATTTCAAATAATGGAAACAGGTTTTCAGACTACGTTTTTTTGATTTATGGTGTTTCTTTCTGATACTAATTAGTACCGTAAATCGAGGGAAGACGATATTGGGAAAACCCCCAGCACTCACTGTTTCGCCTCTCTGTCCAGGATGTCCCGGCAGCCCGTCTTTTCCAGCCGGCCCCTACAGAGCACATTAGACGATTAATATCGCGTACTGAACTAAATGCAAAAAAACATGATATAACTCAAATCGAAGTACAGTCAAATCAACATGTCAAAAAAAACATTTCGTCTTCAAGCTGGAAAATGGATTGAAAGTTTTCCACTTACCGGGGGACCCTTTGGTCCTGGAAATCCTGTTGGACCTTGAGGCCCTGGCAGACCCTGGAAGAGAAGTCCCGGTCAGTGCTGAAAAGGCATCACCAACTCTACACTGATGCCTCTTTAGCATAATCAGAATCACCACACCCCTCATTTACATACCCTTTCACCCGAGGGCCCAGGAGGCCCGTCAGTTCCTGAGGTACCCTGTCCAATAAAGTAGATATGAAGAAATGACTCACTGAGAGAAGCAATAAAAGGGTCGCGCTAAAAGGCAGGGAAGAAGGTCACCTTTGGTCCCGGTTTTCCAGTTGGGCCCCTCGGACCCCTTTCTCCACGTGGACCCTGTGGAAGGCATATAGTCAACGAGGTTCAAAGACATCACATTCTATAAACTGTACACCATCTATTTTCAACATTTCCAAAAGAAAAGTTAAAGGAAACTCACAGTTGGCCCCCTCTGGCCACGGGGGCCTGGTTTTCCAGCTGTTCCCTGAGGGGCGAAGCAGGAGAATTAGAAAGAGCACACATCCCTCAGCCGTGAGCAATGCCCAGGCAGATTAAAGTCTGACAAATCTGACAGAGCCATATGTCCTCACAGGTGTGACTCAGCAGCAGAATTAAACTGGTGACAGACAGGTCATCACATCCTGGCCACGCTATGGATCAGAGCACCCCCAATAAATCCTGGCTGACACAACGGTGACCTGTTCAAACTCACTACCCTCTTAATGGTTACAAAGACGCCTCAGTCACCCTTCTGTTTACCAAAGAAGCCAGCAAATATGGGGAGAACGGGAAAGAAGGGCTTCCTAATGGAAGAGTCAGCTAACATTCTGCTGTCTGAAAACAATTAAACAATCAGACCAAGGAATTAATACCACATTGTACCAATATAAATATTTTTGATCGTTTTTCACTGTGAATATCGTTAAAGCAGCACATATTTAAAACTACAAATCAATTTTATAAGTAAATTAACAGGGACTTTTTTTTGGTTTTTGAATATAATATACAGCATGGATCTTTTGAAAAAAAGTGATTAACTGCATAAATCAATCAACTAATCAATTACAAAATTAACCAATAATGTAGTTGTAGGCAGGATTGATGTAATAATTACTGAATTAAAATACAGACGTTCTGAAAAGGAAGGCATTGGGCAATTCGTGGCGTAAACCGTGCTCCGCTCAGATATAGCTAAAGACTCAGGGCTAATGAACAGCATGGCTGTAGCCCCGAGCTAACTCCAGGCACGCAACAAAGATATGTTTGGTAGGCGCTAAGGATTTTCTGTCTCGCTTGCTTTGATTGTGCTATTCGGAATGACAGCTAATGAAGAAAGAAGTGCACTCCATTGAATTCAGATCTATTTCATATTGTCAGGACCTCCAATTTCACTCTTCAAGTCTGATTTACTAAAGTGGGCCTGACTTTCATCAAGCCTTACAGCCAGGGATCTCTGATTCTTACAGTGGGAAGAAACACCCACAACATACCCACCCGTGTGCCTTTTTCTCCATTGGCTCCTGGAAATCCTTGAAATCCTTGAGAGCCCTGATAATGACAAAGGAGAAGAGAAGATTTAATCCCAAGTTCATCAAAGCGGGATAGCGGATGAGTCTTGTGCAATGTGCTGTGATTGAACGTGAGGCGGCCACCAAACTGCCTGAGAAAATCAGATCACTTTGATCAGGACAGTTCAAACAAGGCTTGTGCTGTTCAAAGACAGGCTCGATGAAGAAACACCAGAAGATTCTTCAAGGTTCCCCTGCCATGTTTAATCAGGATCTTTCAAAGTCTCTTGTCCCTTGTGGGACATGGAAGTTCAACACCAGGTTATTTTTACAGGCAAGTCTACCGGTAAGAGTTTAATAACTTACCTTTGAACCTTGTCTTCCCTGATAACCTGGCAATCCCGGAATGCCAAGCTTTCCCTAACAAGTGTTAAGAGAAAGTTAAGGGTAAGTAGAGAACCAATCTGCAGTTATAATGTCTCAGTATTCATGTCTCTCTGTGTCTCTTAAGGAATTTAATTCAGTCCATGTTTCATTAAAAATCTAAAGTCAAAATCAGCACTGATGAGATTTAAATCTCATCAATCTCATGTTTTTTAAGACTTATTTTTTATCACTTGAAGTGCTTTTAGGGTGGAGCCCCGAGCCGTCACGGGTGCCCCCGTTTGCTGAAAGGGGTTGTTTGCTCTTTGGGAAGTCCCAAAGATCTCCCAAAAATCTCCCTTTTGTATTATATTTCCCCCCCCAAAAGAGAGAGTGTAACACAAACCCTCCCCCATGCATATGTCAAACCAGCCATTCACTCTGTACCCAGTCACTAAACACCCAAGACATAAATCTTTATCATTATTTGTGCTGGATTTTAGACAAGACAGCTTTTCAGGTGATTAAGATCCACTTGTTTTAGAAGTTCTCTATTTACCCCAGTCCCTAAGAGGATGCAGTGCTTCGTCTTTTCTCCTAAACATCATTTTCCCTTTTACTACGCTGTGGTAGATCCAGAATATAAAACCTTCACATGCCTTCTCCCCAAACGGGCCGATGGGGCCAGAATCCCCAGGAAGACCAGCGCGGCCTTTGGGACCCTCTGGTCCATCCTCGCCTCTAGGTCCAGCAGCTCCTATCTCCCCCTGTTTGGAGAAACCCAAGATAACTGCAGCACAAATACAGTGTTAAACGGAAAGCAAAGGAAGCACTGCATCGGCAGGCGGCCCTGAATGCTTACTTACACGGGCGTTTTCTACCTCTCACTTTTAAGTAGAGCAGGAGAAAATGTCACTCTCCCACTGTGAAATATACTTTCATATTCTAATTCCCTCACTGTAAGTATCATATTTACTGCCATTCACAGTGTCTGAGAAATAAATTGGATAAAGCAATTTCCAGACCTGCCAGACACCACGGGATGAGTTACAACACACTTTATTGTCTCTGCTTTAAAATTCATTAATACTCTTCTTATTTTACTATCCAGTGCCAGGATTAGTCTTGTAAACCTGAATTAAAGTCACTCCCTCACTGCACAGTTACTATGGTGACAGCATAAACTGCACCACTGACACCCCCCCCCCCCACCCATTTTAAGAGTTAAAACTGTCACAGAATATGTCATTGTCACTGTCAGTGACAAGAACCTGTACACTAGATAACTGCACAATAAAGGGAATTTTTCCACTCATAAATAAGCAAATTATTATATAAGTGTGTGTGCTTCCTTTAAGTGGAGGATACAGAACACTGCTTTAACATATTCACACTGACTATTTCCCTTCTTCAGGTGTATAAAAGAGGTCGCAGGTGTTTTGATTAAAGACGTGAGTATGAGTGGCCCTTGTAAGGCAGCGCAGAATGATGTCAGATTTTACTGCTAATTGAATTCCTAATGAAGCCCGGCTAATGCTGGGTTTTGCATCTCGCTTCCCTCCGCTGAGTTACGATATTGTGATCTTCTGCATGCAGGGTTTGACTTTGAAAGCGGGGCTTGTCAGCAGTAATTGGAAATGAGGGGACAATGCAGATGGTATGTTTTGAAGTGAAACGCGCCGGGACGGCCCGCGGAAGCTTGTGAAGTGCGATCACAGGACGGCTCGGGGAGTTCCGAGACAGCCGGGGATTCCTGCCGCATCCCTGCATGTCCTGCTAATCATGTAGTGCGGGGGAAGCAAAATAAAGCATTTATGAAGTGAATTATTTTTAATTCATCTCCACATCCTTTTTTTAATAAATAGAATATCTTACTCGGTCACCCTTGCCACCCATGTCTCCTTTAAATCCAGGGAATCCTTCTTCTCCCTGAGACAGCAATCAGCCAACATATAAAACAGTTAAATGAGAACAGCCAAGAACTGAATCTGGAAGAGGAATGTATGTATATCCTTACATCCTCAATGGAGATTCATTTTATCAGTATCAACATCTGGCAGTAAAATTATACTGATGTGCTTTAAAATAAAATAACTCAACACTGAAATCAGTAGTTTATCAAAAATTTATCAAAATCTGTAAATTGAATTACTCATAGTACACATATCTAAAACGATGTTTTTAAACTGTATTTATGTCCTATTGCTAAATTCTTCTGGGGAAGAGAACTCATAAGTCTTTAAAATACAATAATAAAAAAAACTAAAGTAGCCACCTTCTCTCCTTTAGTTCCCTTTAATCCACGAACACCATCAGCTCCCTAAAAGAGAATAACTTGATCAAAGTAATTGTAAGATAAATACATAGTTTAAACGGACTGCCGCATGCATATTGGGTTATGAAATCCAACACGTGGAAAGTATAATATTACTGCCATCTAGTGGTATGTAAAAACATCACAAATATTTTATAATTGTTACTCAGATCTGTAGTGATAACAGCAAGGCATTCAGCCAAACATTACGTGGTAGACACTTTCAATAGAAGATTGTTTTTCTTTACATAAATCTCTAAATCTCTAAACCAGAACAAGTGGCAGACATGAATGGTAGAGAAGTGTTTTGTTGCTTAAGGAGAAACAGTATTAGCAGAAGAGTATTAGCAGAAGAGAGCACAGTGAAACCACCTTATTGTCTGGAAACCCTGAAACGTATGATAGGAATATTTTAAATTGCTACTGTGCTCCACTGCATTGAAACAGCCACTATCTTGAAACAATTAGCCAGAAAATCTGACAATGTTGAAATTACGGCTCAGGTAGGCATATGTGTAGCAATCAGTGTAGGTGCAGGGCTGGATGAAGAGGCCTACAACATGCACGAACATTAACTGGTCAATACAACAAATCCTCCACAATATGACAGGTGGTCATGGTCATAGCATAGCGACCTACAGCCCCTATTTAGTCTTCTAAAAACAAACAGGCCAAGATAACGCTGCATCGAAGGGCACATGCCATGAATGCACTGTTACCCAGACATTAAGAACCCATCTCTCAAACCTAATCTGACACCTGACCTTGAAGGGTCGCAGATTCAGGCTCAATCGGAAACCTTGCATGGGCCTGCTAACTGTGTCTCTGCGATCGGGGTTGGAAGTGACTGATTACCCATAATCCAATACAAACAATACCCTGAAGCAGAACTCACCTTTACACCTCTGGGTCCGGGATAGCCAATCGGACCTTGTGCACCATTGGGACCCTAGCATTGCAAGATAGAAAACGAGAAAATGTAAAACACACTGAACAATTTTACAACATAATATTACTACAATGAATAAAATATAAAAAGGAGGAGTTACCATGTTTCCTTTTTCGCCATGCGGTCCTTCCTTTCCTGGATGACCCTATTATTAAATGATAGCATGATATAATATTATAATAGCTTTCTCTGACATATGGCACCCTATGAGAGCAATCAATGCTGTGTACAAATGAGCAATTAAAATAAAGTGCCCCCCCCCCCAGACAAGCATGAGGGATGGGATGACCCACATGTGCATGCACATTTAAAGGTGTTTTCAAAGTATAGCCTATGTCGAGTGGATCGTCTGTCATGCTGGGCACACAGATTGGCACAAGGAATGAGTGGAGATGGCTGTGGTTGGGGGGAGGCCATATTGCCCTCCGAACAGATGGGACCCAGGCCCTTTAAGCGATTTCGATGACGGACTCACTGGAGGGCCGTCCGCTCCCGCCACTCCCAGTAGGCCTGGCTTGCCAGTGGGACCCTGTATAAGGAAGACGTCGGCCATCACAGATTTATCAGGGACGGGCAAACAAGTACCTCCCAAGGGAGTAAAAAACCGGAACCTACAGCAAAGAAGCCTCTGATGCACAGAGACACCCGTCATATCAATGGTGCCCCCTGCTGGAGGGAAACTCACACTGGAGGGCAAAAAATGAACGAGATCCATCATATATTTTTAGGCCTAAAAATGTAAATACCAACCTCAAAGATCAAGGGCTGCAAAATATTGCCACACACCACAGCTGAATATGTAAGTATATGTCATCTCAGAATACGTCATAAAATCAATCCTTTTCATTCTATACATCAATATATGTACTGCACCATTACAGCAGTTGCTATAAGCTTAATATCCTCAGGAACTATGTATAATATTCTAAAGCAATAATATTGTAACACAGAATAATACTGTTATCTTAAAAAAAATGAACTGCTAGAATTCCAGCATTTATGTAGTACATAACTTATTTTTTATTGACAATCAGTCACTTTACTGATTTTACACAGGCCTCTGGGGGGGCGACGGGGGGGGGGTAAATGTCACATTTTATGACCCATTAACGAGTTCCTCAGATCTTGGAGCAGCTCGTTGGGACTGAGTGGTGATCCTGACCACAGAGGCCTGAGAGGCCCCTGCTTGCCCTTTGCCCTGGGGACACATGGTGGGACCAAGAAGGCGGGGCTTGGTCTGGGCAAAGCCCTCACAACCACCAATGAAGCAGAGGGGCCTGACACTGCTGTTAAATACTGTTATCACTCTGGGAAAACATGTGACCATCCTATTGAATTAATTCACATCCTCCAGGCAGTAAATTCACACTTCCTGTTATGTTTAATGAACTTGTGAAATAATAACAACACTGGTGCCCCAGCAATATGTCCGTGGGCAAAGACGTGTGTAACACCTCAGTTCTGATGCTGCCTTTTCCAACCAACATGGAGTAACAGAGTCACACCGATTTTAACTGTTAGCTTTTCCACAGCCCAGTGTTCAATAGTGCCCTGCAGATCCGTTATGGTGATTGCATCTTTGGTAGTGTAGAATTATCACAGGAGTGTGTCAGAATGGGTTCTTTGCGGAATGGATTTGCAAACACCTTTCAACTATCTGGATCGATATCATAGCAGTGAGAAAACGCATTTGGCTGTGAGCTTGAGTATATGATCGATAGGCTTGGACCTTCTCTAGGCTGTGACATTTCCACAGTCAGACTGTAATGAACAGTCTATTGAAGACAAAAGTGATTGTGGTATATAATGTGAGACGTGTAGGACTACCTTATCTCCAGGAGCCCCAATGTGTCCTTGAGGTCCTGGAAGACCCTGTAAGAAACAAAAAGTTGACTTTCAAAGTCATGTCAGGGATAGGTGCTGCCAGCAGCTCAGACATGATAAAAGACTGAATTATGCCTTTATGAACTTATAATAATAAACAGAAAGGATTTTATTGTAAAATTGCATGAGTTAGTTATATGAATGAATTGATCTAAGTACATTAGTTTGGTGCCCCAGGTTCATTGTTTACACAGGTTGGTACTGGAGGGTAAAACACCGGCGGCTACAAGGGTCATTATTGCAAAGGACATAGATTTACAAATGTCACGTTCTGTTTTAGTTCAAAGGGAAGGGTTATGCTTAGAGCTATAATCCATCTATCACATCTTTTCAAAACTCGGTAGAAATATTCAAAAGCACTAATTTCCTTCATGGGCCGATGCCCCAAACATCACGCTCCCTCATCAGCACCTCATGCCCCAAACATCACGCTCCCTCATCAGCACCTCATGCCCCAAACATCACGCTCCCTCATCAGCACCTCATGCCCCAAACATCACGCTCCCTCATCAGCACCTCCCCCTTCCCTTCATTGGCTGAGACCTCCCAGTAAATGCAGACTGGCCATGTCCTTTTTTTCCAGCTCATCATTTGGCAGTCTGTCTGCGACCCACCTGAGCGCCTGGATTTCCCTGCTGTCCTGGGGGGCCAGGTTCACCTTGTGGCCCCTGCAGAGATGCACAGAAAAAGTCACGCACACCAGTTTCATGCTCTGAATGTGAATTTCTGCCCTTTCCCTTGTACATCCTCACAATAGCCACCTACCTCACTACGGACTGCCGTCAATAACAAAATGCACCAAGACCCACAGATCTAAACTGTCTAAAGCACAACTATTGCTTTTTTACATTAAATGAATGGCCCTACACTGATTTATTTCAGATTTCCAAATTGTATAATCATGGGCAAATGAGATATTTCTGCCTACTACTTGGCAGCAGACACTCCACTCTTAGGGAATAAAAATCCACTAACAGCCTTTGGAGTTTGTACGGAGATGAGGCGCGAACTCAGGCCAATAGCAATTTAAATGTGTGCCTTTTGGACTGAGAGCGATACCGCAGACCATCGCTAGGATAATTGTTCTTTCTTGTGGTGAACATTCCCATCAGCGTGGACACAAGCAGGAGGAGTCTAAGTGTCTAAAGATAACTGAAAATCAATCGGCTGGCAATTTAGGAGGAGAATTGCTGAGGAGATGCACCCCCCAATCCATCCTAGCAGGGAAAAGCCCCCAGCACACAGACAGCATCATTAAATCAGAAAGGCTGTCATTAGGACCATGGGCTCTTCGGGAAGAACTGATGGCATTACAGAAGGAAGGGCTATGAAATGTGATTTAAAGAAACATATCACTCTCCAAACTGCTAAAGGAGAATTTTTCAGGGTTTTACCAATGGAAAGGCTTAGTGCCACACTGAAGGGGAATAGCAATGAGTTTACAGACATTCGGCAGCCACTGATTGATCACTTGCCTAGAGAACTATTGGAGATCATGGTTAGAAGTTAGGGCATTTTTAAGTGAAGCGGAAATAAGGCAGGTTAATGAGTGATGTACAATATCTGCACTGTGCAGTGAACTGTGAGGGTTCTTTTGGGTTTTGCTTGAGCCGATGACATGTGCAACTTGCACTCACAATGCCCCCTTTGGGTCCGGGATGGCCATCCATTCCAGTCACCCCCTGAAACACAATACTGGATGTGAGGTATCACTAAATTACTGGAACACTACCATTATGACTAGAGAGGCATCTACCAGGAAACTCTACGGTAACTGGGTGTGGCATGCATGTTCCACACTGACCCTATGAATAAAAGAGTGCAAGTTTGACACTTACAGGAGAACCAGGAGCTCCTTGGGGTCCTTTTGGGCCCAGCAATCCACGAGGTCCCTGTAGAGAAGAGGGCAGGAAAGATGACAGGAAATGATGAATTATATCTAAGACACCTTTTACTAAATGAATCGACTTACGATCATTGTAATTGCTGACCATGTAATAGTGGAGTAACAACAGTAGATGATGTACCATATAATACAGATTTTATAGTGAGTCTTCTGTACTCTCTAGTTCTTTTGTTAGAGATAAGGTAGCAAGTTTGAATAATGTTACAACACTTGACTAGATTAATCCGTAGATAGACTAATATTTTAGAGTGAATTCAGCAACATTTCCTGGTCTTGGTGGGAAATAAAAGGTAGCATCATTAAATCTGTATAAATCTCAAGAAACGGTGACAGAAGTCTCAGACATAGACATTCAGACATAGACATTCAGACATAGACATTCAGACATAGGCGGCAAAGATAAAGTCCCTGTGTATCACTTCAGCCTTAGTATTGTTTTAAAAATGAGGCAAGAGATATGAATTTATCATATTTCATTTATGTCGTTTATATCAGAACAAAGAAAAGATAAATGCTTTCCTTGTTGTTTAGGGACCTTTTAACTTAAGTCATCACTAGAAAAAAATTCTTCCAAGTCTGAGAGTTCCTAAACCTGAAAAAAACAAGCTAAATCGTCTTGACGTCTGTGTGGAAGTGGCGATACCCTTCCCCAGTTTGTCACTGGGCCTCCAGGGGAAATGCTGACCGTCCCAATGTCAGCTTTCATTTACAGAAAGCAGATGAAGTTCCAGAAGCTTCTCACACATGAAAACGATAAGCAAAAGCCCCAATCGAACCGCAATCCCTACTGCCTGGCCCCGGCTGCACCTTTGTGGATGTTCCAGCTCTTTTTTAAAGTCCATATGTAAGCAAATCTCTTCCTGCTTGAACAGCTGCAACAAATGCTAACAGTCCATTGTGCTTCTATATTATTATACTAATAAAGTAATAAATGCAATGACAGTTATTCACAAAGCACAAACAGTCATCAGTCTGCATGACCGCAGCATTTTGTATCTCTTTTTACTTTTTCACCAGCCTTTAACTGGCTGAAAAGTACATCTGTTTTATTACTCAGCCTAAAATTAATTAAAAACTCCAACATTTCAAGTCATTTCATTATAGACCTTTTGCTGATTAAACCTCAAATTAAGGCCACTGCATTCAGTCATTGTCTTGCTGTTCTATATTGCTGTCACGTCCAATCAGAAAGCTGTCCCTAAACAGTGTGGCATTAAGAGAATGACACTTACTGGTTCACCAGGCAGCCCCCTGAGTCCAATCTCTCCATCGTCACCCTATCAGTGCATAACAAACAAAAAAGTCAGGCAACACTTGACCTTAAAGACTGAAAGGCAGAAAATGGACTAGGGCCAGTTCAAAGACGCCATATTCTACAGGACGTAGGGCAGAAAGTGCGCATCAGTTTTTTCCCCAGATGATTCAGCCCAATCCTGCATCCAGCTTGGTTGTGGATAAAGGTCTCCCCATGTTCCATGATGTAATCATATAAGGGTTTATGGGTAAAAAAACAAAAAAACATGTGTGCTGCTGTTGATAGTAGTAAACGTGTTTGTTGGGGGTGCTGCAGAGCAACCAGGTGAGATACCAAGCTCTGTGCCCTATCAATAGTGATAAGGAATCAGAGAAAACAATGGCTGTGGTAGGTAGGACTGGGCCAGGAGTGAAAGGAGAAGATTAGTGAGTCATATCCAGAAGCCAGGAGGGAAGAGGTGCTCTTACCCTCTCACCGTCTTCTCCGGATGGACCAGGAGGGCCTGCTGCTCCTGACTCACCCTACAGGGTCAAACAGAGACATGGGAGGGAAGGACAGGTCACTCATATGCACAGAGTCACATGCATACACACAAGTTTGTATCCATATCTTTGTGCGGAACATCCATTAATTTCTGCAGTGAAATCCCTGATCCCAACTATTACAAGCCTACCCAGCCCACATAACCATACGTAACCAAACAAAATACAAGACTTTTTAGGTTTTTGACTGCAGTCAAATATTTTTATCAAATTGAGTTCCCCCTTGTGGGGACTGAAACATCTAAATAAGGTCTCCATAACATCTAAATAAGATGACATTTGGTCCCCACAAGGTAATATATATATATATATATATATACTCAGCAAAAAAAGAAACGTCCCTTTTTCAGGACTGTGTATTTCAACAATAATGTTGTAAAAATCCAAATAACTTTACAGATCTTCATTGTAAAAGGTCTAAACAATGTTTTCCATGCATGTTCAATTAACCATAATCAATTAATTAACATGCACATCAGAATATCACACCTACGTGACAGGTACAGGATGGCCACAACAACTGCCCGAGTCACACCAGGAACACACAAGCCCTCAGTCCAGCCTCTCTCAGCCTGTTGCGGACAGTCTGAGCACTGATGGAGGGATTGTGTGTTCCTGGTGTGACTCGGGCAGTTGTTGTGGCCATCCTGTACCTGTCACGCAGGTGTGATATTCGGATGTACCGATCCTGTGCAGGTGTTGTTACACGTGGTCTTCCACTGCAAGGATGATCAGCTGTCCTTCCTGTCTCCCTGTAGTGCTGTCTTAGGTGTCTCACAGTGCGGACATGGCAATTTATTGCCCTAGCCACATCAGCAGTCCTCATGCCTCCCTGCAGCATGCCTAATGCACGTTCACGCAGATGAGCAGGGACCCTGGGCATCTTTCTTTGGGTGTTTTTCACAGTCGGTAGACAAGTCTCTTTAGTGTCCTGCGTTTTTAGAACTGTGACCTTAAATGCCTACTTTCTGTAAGCTGTTAAGGTCTTAACGACCATTCCACAGGTGCATGTTAATTAATTGATTATGGTTAATTGAACATGCATGGAAAACATTGTTTAAACCCTTTACAATGAAGATCTGTAAAGTTATTTGGATTTTTACAACATTATTGTTGAAATACACAGTCCTGAAAAAGGGACGTTTCTTTTTTTGCTGAGTATATATGACCCACACACACACACACACACACACCAGGTTTACATCTTACACCACAAGACCCATCTGTTAACTAAAGTAAAATTCAGGGCTGGGGTAGCTGGACAGAACCAGGGCACTGAAGACACGCCCAGGCCAGGATTTTCCTTCCCACAAAATTAGTACCACGTGGCTGTTTAGGCCGTGGCTAAGATCCGCACGGCCGGTGCCGCTGCGCGAGTGGCAAGGCCCGGCGGTGCCGTGGCTAAGGTCCGCACGGCCGGTGCCGCTGCGCGAGTGGCAAGGCCCGGCGGCGCCATGGCTAAGGTCCGCACGGCCGGTGCCGCTGCGCGAGTGGCAAGGCCCGGCGGCGCCGTGGCTAAGGTCCGCACGGCCGGTGCCTCTGCGCGAGTGCCAAGGCCCGGTGGCACTAACACTCAAAGCTGACGTCGACACCGGCACCCTCGCGCTCCTGCCAGCTAACGGCTGCGGCGGGACCTTCAGAAGCTGAGCTCAGGCCCTGGATCCCACCCCGCTGGAAACACCAGAACTCTCAGCGACCGGGTCCGAAAGCAGCCGGCCAATGGCGTGGCAGCTAGGAGCAACAACTAACACCTAGTAAACTTTTCCATTTCAACTGAAGACCAAACAGAAAAACAGTGAGGAGAGACACCAGGACTGTTGTTAAAGTGCTATATAAATAAAGCTCACTTGACTTGTCTTTTGTGTGAATTTCAGCAAACGGGTGGCAAGTTGTCAGCTGGCAGGGGCATGATGGATACATCGTAAACATACACGCTAATAAGTATCAGTCATCATTTCCCCTTTAATATGCTACTTAACAGTGTCAGTCACCTTCTGCCATTATGTGACGTTCGGAGCAGACCGACAAAGCACACTTACTCTGTGTCCCTTTTCCCCAGGAAGTCCAGCCAATCCGTCAAAGCCTCTCTCACCCTGTCATAAAAAGGGAAAAGGGGAATTATAGGCGTGGTGAGCAGACTGGAGAGCTGCGAGAAGGTCTCTACGTCCTCAGAGGGAGACGCCTGAGTTAGCCGTGAGACGTCAAGATGTCGTTTTCTGGGTGGGCTAGATGCTGGTCCTGTTGGCTCCCAGAGACTCATATTTGTCTGTAAGTCTGTGAGAGTCACGTGTGTCCATGCGGAGCCCAAGGGGCAACGTGCTGCTTTGTAGACATTTGAGATGCCTGGAGGTTTAAGCACCTTTGCTCCTGTTTGCCCGGGCATGCCTCTGGCTCCATCCGCTCCAGAACGTCCCTGGGTCCAAATCAAACAAAGAAGCCCACATCAAACTCATAAACACAAGACAGACTCATGCCTATAACCAGAAATACAACTATACAGTTAGGTCCCTCTCAAGAGTCAAACCTGAAATTCTACTGAGTGACTATGCACAGCATTCGTCTGCAGACCCGTACTGGGTCGTCTGCATAATGCATGGAAAACAGTAATAATACGAGGAAAATGTATAACTCTTTTCAAAGGCGCTAAAGTGTCGGGCTCCTTAGCGGTCAGTGGCACCAAGTCCTTGTTTCCCATTTCACACCAGATGTTCCAATCTCAAGCGTACTTTCAGAGCCTTTACAGTATTAATACTATCCAAGTCTCCATAGTGCATTGACTTTGGAAAATGAACATATTAACGTATTATGTAGAAACTCCAAAACTTCACCTTTTTAATGCTATGGAGTGAAAGGAAGAAGGGTGATACTGTGTTTACAGCTGCCCAAAGAGAAAGAGCTGCTATTGATTTCCACACACAACTGGCCATTATGATGTCCTTGGACATGTCCTATTGCTTTCTCAATCAATTTCTAACTAAAAACTAAGGACTGGGCTTTGTGCCGAGTCAGTGAAGGAAATGAGTCATTGACTTTTTAAAATCAGGTGCCAGCCCACTGCTAAAATACATGTGAAAGTGACGCACTTTACAGCAGTTGTGCATTGCATTGTTTAGCAAGGGAAATGAACACATCTCACAGACTAGCCACCTCTTTAAATGATAAACACCATGCAAACATTCACGCTGCATTCCCATTGCCTTTCACCTTTCTGCTACATGTGCTATATATCAGTGTTTATCAACCCAGTCCTCAGGAACACCCAGACAGTTCACGTATTTCCTCCCTCCCAGCTCCCAGCCAATCAGAAACACCAAACACCTGGAACAGGTGAGTTGCAGGCTGGGAGGAAGCGAAAATGTGGACTGTCTGGGGCTCCCCAAGGACTGGGTTGAGAAACACTGCTGTGCAGATGTACACTGAAAACATTTTGCTCTATACAGTAGCTTATCGCTGCCTAGTATTTAACAAAATACACTGTCATATTGCTGTTAGTGACCCCCAAACAGATTCATTCTTGTGTATATTCAGCCTCTCCTCAGGTTATGACAGGGTTACATTCCGATAAACCTGTCTTAAAGCGAAATTACCGCAAAAATGCATTTTATTACATTTTAATACACCTAATTTAACAAACATCATAGCCAGGCCCCGCCTACCTTAAAAACATGATTACACTTACACTAACAGTTAAAAGTTTTTGAACACCAGATTTTTACAATTTTTCCATTTCATAAACTGCAGATTTTTTATTCTTGTTAAGCATTAGAAAGTTTAGTGAATAACTATGAATAAAAACATTAGTCAAATAAAACAAATTTTAAAGAGTATTAACAGAGCATGTCTGACATCCTACTATTGGCTTGTGTGGTGACGGCAGAGTCAAATTCTAGGCTGTCCTTTACGTATTCAGATAGTGAACTTACTGTAAATTTGTTTGTTAGCAAACTATGTTGAGTATATTTTTAGTAAATGTTAAGTAAGTAATATGCAAAAGTAGAAAATTTCAGTGTGTCCAAAAACTTTTCACTAGTAGTATACATTAGCCTACAGTTCGGCAAAACCATTAACACAAAGCCTATTTTGTAATAAAATGTTGAATATCTCATGTAAATTATTGAATAATGTCCTGAAAGTGAAAACCATTTTCCCATCAAAAAATCAAAATATTCTATCAGGGACCGTCGTAACCCAAGGTGTCTGTACCTATATCCTATCAGGGACCGTCGTAACCCGAGGGGGTGTCTGTACCTATATCCTATCAGGGACCGTCGTAACCCGAGGGGGTGTCTGTACCTATATCCTGTCAGGGGCCGTCGTAACCCGAGGGGGAGTCTGTACCT